TTGGGGTTTTTGGTTTTTGTTTTCACTGGAGAACCTAACAACACTTTTTTGGGCATTAAAGTTGTCCTCATCGAACATCTGAATTTCAAACAAAAAAAACTTATTCCCCCTAATAGAAAATACATAACACATGCACTGTAATTTTACTGAAAAATACTACCTGTCTTTGTGATACACCAATATATGACCCGTTAGGATTTTACGTTTTTTAAAAATACATACCAAATGTAATATACACGGAATAACACCCCTTTTGGGGTAATACGTTGAATATATAAACCTCTCGGTCAATGTACACTAAAATATACAAACCTATAAAACTCCATATATACCAACCTCTGTCTACCAAATACTGTATTTGACAACTGAGATGCAATTCATTATGAACAATTACTGCATCCTGAAAATTTGCTCTTCAGGGAAAGAGATTTACACCGCGTGCAGCAAGTTATGTCAACACTGAGCGAACAAGAGAGAACAGCAGGTGTAGGACCTTACGTGAGGGTGTGGACTGGGAGACGCGTGGCAATGACGGTGTGGGCCAGTAGTCTAACTGTCAGGTGTATATATATATATATATATAGTCTCCGAGACTACCAGATTTCCGTCCCCCCTTCCCCTAGGAGAGCTACATCCCCTCCCTGCTCTCATGGAGGAGTGTTAGATCCCCCGATCTTCCCCCAGCCTGGATGGTTGTATCCCCTTCTCTAGCCTCCAGGGGTGTTATATCCTCTCCCTTCCCCCAGGGAGAAGTGATACATCACCTGTCAGTCCCCAGCCTGGAGGGATGTATCCCCTTCTCTAGCCTCGAGGGGTGTTATATCCTCTCCCTGCCCCCAGGGAGAAGCGTTAGATCTCCCTATCTCTCCCCAGCCTGGAGGGTTGTATCCCCTCTCAAGCCTCCAGGAGTGTCGGAACCCCTTCCTGCCCACCTGCAGCCTCTCTTTCCCAATCAACAGATGAGCTGCCACATAAATAAAACTCATGTAACAATATTTCCCATGACAAAATATAGTTCCTGTGCTAGTAAACATAACGACAAAACTCTGGCACTCTCCCTGCCTGCGAAGGCTAGTACAAACTCTTGTTATATGACTGATTTTTGTTGAAATCTATTTTCGTTTGATTTTATGAATAAATTTTTGGTTGAATCCACTACATTTTTAAACCGATTTTTGTCGTAATATTTGTTAGTGCAGAAAATATCATTTTTTTTTTCTCATTAGCAGCCTCTCCAGGTTAAGATTCACTTCTGTCTGAACGTACATTCAGAAAGTCATCAAACTTCCCAGCGAGTGTATAAAGAACAGGAGAAAAAACACACCTGTTTACCTTGAAGAATACTTCACTATAATGATCAATTAACCCACAGTTGTGTCTGATGAAGAGATAACATTTATTTTCTAACTTTCTCCTCTACTCATTCTCGCTTCACTTCTTGACTATGATAGTGACAGTATTACCGCCAGTGTTGTTTTTATTACTACGACTGTTTCCGTTATTACTACTACTACTACTACTGTTGCTTCTACTTGCATTATCATTTCTAACTCTGTTGCTACCACTATGTATATTACTGCCACTACTTTGATTCCTTTGCTTGCGTTCCTTCTCTGTTCTAAGTGACGTAAGGTTACGACGTTTGAAGAGGCTTCGGAACTCCTCAAGTCAACAGAGGTCGGCCTGGGAGCCGTCGCAACTCTCGTAATTTTTCATTTTTAGTGTTATGCATCCATAAAATGAGAGTAAAATACCACTCTGTGTACACAAAAACAGTAACAATATCTCTGGTGAGCAAACTTTTTTTAATTTCATCAGTGAAAAAATTAATTTAACATTGGTTTCCGCGGGGAAAATGCAATTCGCTTAACGTAATTTTCTCGCTTAGCGAACTTTACCTCCAGTCTGTCTACGTCGTTAAGCATGAAGCCCCAACCTTAACTTCTGGAACCCAGTCCCTGGACGCATCATTATGTGTCCCTGTAATATCTTGACTACCACCCGCGGGATAGGTATGAGCTACATAGTAAAACTATTTAATAAACGCGATACTCAGATATATCGCATTTCAAGAGATCCACAACACATGAATATCGTCTCAGGCCTCAGAGTACTACCTAGTACTACGAGTTCTCTCTTCTATCCTACAGGGGTACCATAAAGATGGGGAGAAGCTCTGGATCAAACCTAGCAAACCTAGTTTCTTGCCATACATCAGGTGTTCTGTAACTCTTTAAGAGCGTAGAGCTGCCCCATGAATTAATTAAAAGTCTGTCATTTTTTTACCTATGGTTCCACTCTTATTTTTATTATTTGCTTACTCATTTTAACCTGTTGATGGTTCGGTATGGTAATGTAAGGCACAGCTGTGCTAGGCACCATGGTTCATGGTTCAGTATGGTAGTGTAAGGTACTGCTGTGCTAGGCACCATTGTATAGTATGGTAGTGTGAGGCACCATGGTTCATGATATAGTATGGTAGTGTAAGGTACTGCTGTGCTAGGCACCATGGTATAGTATGGTAGTGTGAGGAACCATGGTTCATGATACAGTATGGTAGTGCAAGGCACTTCTGTGCCAAGCTCCAGTATTCATGGTGCAGAATAGTAGTGAGGTACTGCTGCGCTAGGCACCATCGTACAGTATGGTAGTGTGAGGCACCATTGTTCATGGTACAGTATGGTAGTGTAAGGCACTGCTATGCTAGGCGGTCAGGGTTTATGGTACAGTATGTGGTGTGAGAGGCTACTAGTTTAGGCACCAGGGTTCATGGTGCAGTATGGTAGTGTGAGATACCATGTTTCATCTTACAGTATGGTAGTGTAAGACACTGCTATGTTAGGCACCATGGTTTATGGTACAATATGGTAGTGTAAAACACTGCTGTGTTAGGTACCATGGTTACTGGTTCAGTATGGCAGTGTAAGACATTGCTATGCTAGGTACCATGGTCCATGGTACAGTATGGCAGTGTAAGACACAGCTGTGCTAGGCACCATGGTTCATGGTACAGTATGGTAGTGCAAAACACTGCTGTGCTAGGCACCATGGTTCATGGTACAGAATGGTAGTGTAAGACACTGCTGTTCTAGGCACCATGATTCATGGTACAGTATGGCAGTGTAAGACACAGCTGTGCTAGGCACCATGGTTCATGGTACAGTATGGTAGTGTAAGACACTGCTGTGCTAGGCACCATGGTTCATGGTACAGTATGGTAGTGTAAGACGCTGCTGTGCTAGGCACCATGGTTCATGGTACAGTATGGTAGTGTAAGACACAGCTGTGCTAGCACCATGGTTCATGTACAGTATGGTAGTGTAAGACACTGCTGTGCTAGGCACCATGGTTCATGGTACAGTATGGTAGTGTAAGACACAGCTGTGCTAGGCACCATGGTTCATGGTACAGTATGGTAGTGTAAGACACTGCTGTGCTAGGCACCATGGTTCATGGTACAGTATGGTAGTGTAAGACACTGCTGTGCTAGGCACCATGGTTCATGGTACAGTATAGTAGTGTAAGACACTGCTGTGCTAGGTACCATGGTTCATGGTACAGTATGGTAGTGTACGACACTGCTGTGCTAGGTACCATGGTTCATGGTACAGTATAGTAGTGTAAGACACTGCTGTGCTAGGTACCATGGTTCATGGTACAGTATGGTAGTGTAAGACGCTGCTGTGCTAGGCACCATGGTTCATGGTACAGTATAGTAGTGTAAGACACTGCTGTGCTAGACTCTATGGTTCATGGTACAGTATAGTAGTGTAAGACACTGCTGTGCTAGGCACCATGGGTTCATGGTACAGTTATAAGTGTACGACACTGCTGTGCTAGGTACCATGGTTCATGTACAGTATAGTAGTGTAAGACACTGCTCTGCTAGCACCATGGTTCATGGTACAGCATAGTAGTGTAAGACACTGCTGTGCTAGGTACCATGGTTCATGGTACAGTATAGTAGTGTAAGACACTGCTCTGCTAGGCACCATGGTTCATGGTACAGTATGGTAGTGTACGACACTGCTGTGCTAGGTACCATGGTTCATGGTACAGTATAGTAGTGTAAGACACTGCTGTGCTAGGTACCATGGTTCATGGTACAGTATGGTAGTGTAAGACGCTGCTGTGCTAGGCACCATGGTTCATGGTACAGTATAGTAGTGTAAGACACTGCTGTGCTAGACTCTATGGTTCATGGTACAGTATAGTAGTGTAAGACACTGCTGTGCTAGGCACCATGGTTCATGGTACAGTATAGTAGTGTACGACACTGCTGTGCTAGGTACCATGGTTCATGGTACAGTATAGTAGTGTAAGACACTGCTCTGCTAGGCACCATGGTTCATGGTACAGTATAGTAGTGTAAGACACTGCTGTGCTAGGTACCATGGTTCATGGTACAGTATAGTAGTGTAAGACACAGCTCTGCATAGGCACCATGGTTCATGGTACAGTATAGTAGTGTAAGACACTGCTATGCTAGGTACCATGGTTCATGGTACAGTATAGTAGTGTAAGACACTGCTCTGCTAGGCACCATGGTTCATGGTGCCTACCATAGCTCCTAAATTCAACAAAACAAAAGCCTCTGTATTAAAAAAACGAAATTAAGTCACGAATATCTTCTATCTCTCTTGAAAACCCACTTTTTTTTATCGGAAAAACTAGGCTCAGAATTTTTTTTCCCCATTTATCACTCCTCTGAATTTTGTATAGCCTTTTTTCGTGATTTATGGGACAAAATTATCATGAATTTGGGTACTAGATAGTTAACTTTAATGAATCATAAGAAGTTTATTCAGCTCTAGTTAGTGAGGTTGGTTCATGGGGTTTGAAGCCTATCGACCGCACCAGGAGTGTTGTCAACTCTCCCGCTGCATATATTAAGTATACCAGGTACATAATAAGTTTTATAAATAGATGACACTTTATTTCCAAATTATACCTATTTTTATTGATGTAATAATTCTTGTTGGCCAAATGAATTGTTAGTATAAATATTTAAATTTAATATCATTTTACACAATCTTTTAAGTAACTCTGAAATAAATACATTCGCTAATTTAGAAACAATCACAGAGAAAGAAAATTCGTGAAGACTTTTTCTTGAATCTGACTGACGTGTTGGGGTTGACTAGGTTCCTCGCGTTAGTAGATTCGTGGAACTGTTGAATTTTCCAGACGATCAGTCGACGTGTTTATTGTCAGTGGGGATGATGTTCGTGTCTGTCAGGGTAAGTGCTTTGTGCTTTGTCGAGGTTTAACGTCCGTAGCCACCGACTTTGCCGCCATGGCCTTTGCCACCGCCAAATCCGCCGCCAATTCCACTGCCGCCAAATCCGCCGCCAATTCCACTGCCGCCAAATCCACCGCCACCTCCGAAGCCTGGGCCTTTGCCGCCGCCAAATCCACCACCACCTCCGATGCCTGGGCCTTTGCCGCCGCCAAATCCACCGCCAAATCCACCACCACCTCCGAAGCCTGGGCCTTTGCCGCCGCCAAATCCACCGCCAAATCCACCACCACCTCCGAAGCCTGGACCTTTGCCGCCGCCAAATCCACTGCCACCAAGTCCACCGCTTCCCAAGCCACCAAAGCTTCCGCCACCTCCAAAGCCACCACCCTTATGGAGGCCTCCTACCCCACCTCCATAAGGTCGGCTTGCCTGTGATGGTTCCAGGAGACAGACCACCACCACCACGACAGCCACTGCTAACCAAGTCATCCTGAAAGATAAACAAAAGAATGAGAAACAGTTCATAACTCATAACTCTTCAAATTAGGTTCCCTGGATCCCACTGAGGAAAATAAACAAAGGGATCCTATTATATCCCTTAACCCTTGAGTCCAGTGAATATTATATGATATATTACATTAATCTAATACTATTACGTTAGAAAATGGAAATACGAGTGTACTGGCCCGTGATAGGAAGGTCCATCTCTTCTCCCATGTCAAGGTTGATTCACCAGTTGAAAACCGGCTGATGTGTCTGTCAGTCCTTTATCATCAAGTGTTAAGGCCTTTAATTAATTTTTGGGAGTTAGTTGTGAAGTTTGTTAGATTTAATGTTTAAGATTCCTAGTGAGACAGACTGTCGTTTGCCAGTAAATTCTACAACACTTAGCCTCTCCAATAAGGAATGTACAAACATCTCGGAGTATATGTACACTGGGTGATATGCACCTATCAATGTATATACACTGAGATATAAACCTGTCAGTGTATATACACGGAGAGTTATGCACCTGTCAGTGTATATATACAGAGATATACACCTGTCAGTGTATATACACTGAGAGATATATACCTGTCAGTTTTTACACTGATACATCATCAATTTATATACACTGAGAGATATACACCTGTCAGTGTATATACACTCAAAGAAATGTGCCTCTCAATGTACACACACCTCGGTCAAGATGTGAGGTATTAGCCGAGAAATGAATGCTAAAAGTGGTGATAAGATTTCTTATATATCTTCATGGTTTATGTGTGAATAACGGAGACCGGCTCTTCTGATAGGCTTCAAAATTTTAGCGTGAGCGTATTTTAGTTAAGATAAGACTTAAATTGCTATAAGACTGTAAATTAAAAACAAAAATTGTGATTTTTTTTTTCAGTGTGATAACTTGAGAATGTGTTTTCCGAATGATGTCAAACTTAAAGGAAGATTCTTCATGGGTTGAAGCTTTGTACTAGTAGGTGAAAATTGGTCAAGTTTCGAACAGTTGAAAAAATGAAGGCTATTGGTTTTTGTGTGATAAATGGAAAATGTCTCTTCTTGGTATCTTCAAATTTTTACCACTAGTGTGTTTTGCTGGAACGAAATTTCACTTCGTTAGAGAGCGACACACTGGTAGAATTTGGTAGTTTTATCTAATAGACCGAGAGAATGATTTCCGTGAAATATGTGGAATGCCGCTCTAGATCAGCTTAAACCCGTGAGGAACTTTTCAGAAAAGTTCGGATTTGATTTGGGCTGTGAGGGTACCAGTTTGACCAATTTAAACTTAACAGGTGTAATGCCTTAGGCAGTAATGGTTTTACCCGTTTCTTGGAATAAAACCCCAAGAGGACTGAAGAGAATTTCAAACTGAATACGACCCATATAGAATTACTGATCATTGGAGATTCTAAACACGAGAAAGCAGATTGGGGGACCAGGTTTCCACATGAGTTGCCGGGTGATCACCAACAGCCTGTTTGGCCAGAGATCGAGTTCCGATTAACGGACGGAGAATCGAGCCTCCACCACTCCTTGCGCTGAAGGACCCGCTCGGATTTAGGGCTTTTTGAAATACAGCTCACGTGGACAGGTTACGAGAAATGTTGGCATGCAGAACGTCATACATTGTACAAGAAGATGGCTGAACACCGAATGAACTAACGTTGAAAGTGCTTACCTGACTGACTGTGTGAGTGCTGATACGACTGGAAATGTAGGTATGAGGCAGCAGTCCGTTATATATAGTATTAGAACCCCTCCCTACCCTCCGGCAGTGTAGGATCCTCTAAGTGCCCGTCAGCCAGGAGCGTTACATCCACTACCTAGCTACCTTCTCTCTCTCTCTCTCTCTCTCTCTCTCTCTCTCTCTCTCTCTCTCTCTCTCTCTCTCTCTTGGAGTGCACCTAACACCCACCGGGTAGGGAGGTACACTCCAAGAGAGAAAGAGAAGAGGGGGAAGAGAGAAGAATCCCCTTCCCCCTCTTAACCCCCCCAGCAACCCCCCCCACTCACTATCTCAGGCATCAAACAACACATATATTTATAGTAGATGATGATCTTCCGCTGAACACGTGACCTCTTTCATAGGATCCATTGAGAGGTATTTATACTTCCACGACTTCTCTTATCACCTGTACTTCTCTTGCCTCTACCACTTTTATTACCACCACTCCATTTATTACTACCACTTCTTCTGTTGCCTCCACTCCCTCCAACCCCACCATTTAGCTCCTCGTTTTATAATCCAGTTGTGGATAACACAGCTGATGTGGTTCCAGCCTCAAAAATGTCAATCTTCTTTTCATGTCTGAAATACGTACCCGGGACGTACATACCTGAGACATAAGTACCTCAAGCATACGTCTAAGAGACATACGTACACGAGACATACGTACATGAGACATTCAAAAATTTAAAAAAGATTCCTGGTGATGTTTTTAAGAAGCACTCTGCATAATATAAAACCAATATTGCATCATCAGCAAAGTCGAAGTTGCTGATACTGTGGCAAATTACGGTATCCTTCTTGGTTCGGGAATGGAGTTAAGGATAATAAAAAACAACAATAATAATAATAATGAGGGAGAATAAGAATAATACACACTCTGTATGCAAACCATGTTCACACTTCTTACCAGAATATAACAGTCGTGTTCTCACTCGACTCAACATAACTGCACTAATACTCAAGACTCTTGCAAGAAGTTAGGCTGAGAACAGGGATTAAACTTCTTGAGGAGAGGCCAAGTGTTGGAGCTCAACACCAGTAATCACAGCAAGGACACACACACACACACATATTGACAGGATAGACAGAAACAGGATGTTCCAGATGAATTAAAGAGATGTAAGGAAGTATTTCTTCAGCCATAGAGTTGTCAGGAAGTGGAATAGTCCGGCAAGTGACATAGTGAAGGCAGGAACCATACATAGCATTAAGACGAGGTATGATAAAGCTCATGGAGCAGGGAGAGAAAGGACCCAGTAGCGATCAGTGAAGAGGCGGGGCCAGGAGCTGTTAAGACCAGTTTTCCAATGACAAAGGAGGCAAAATTTTATTTGCAAAGAACCCTAAGTCCACCCCTAGCCAACCACAAGCCCACCCCAGCCCACCCCTAGCCCACCTCAAGTTCACCCCAGCCCACCCCAAAGCCCACCTCAAGCCCACCCCCAGCCCTCGTGTCATGGGGATGCCATCCAGTCCTCAGCCATGACAACAGGTTTCTTCAGCAGCCTCAGAGTTATTTATGTTCATAGTGGAAGAAGTGTCTTGGAGGTGGGGAAATCATCCTCAGGTTTTTCTTTCCATTCTTAGTAATGAACGTGTCAAGGGGGAAGGAGTGGGGGAGGGGGTAATGAGGGAGTGGGGGGAGGAGAGGAAATGAGAGACGCCGGATCTTTCAGTGGCCTCACCTGTTTGTGTTCTCACCTGTGGATCTCTTGTGTGCTTGTATGTTTGTCGTGTGTTTATTGTATGTTTGTTGTGTGTTTATGTTTTATTTACTATGAAAATTTCCAAATAACAGAGAATTTTTGATGTAATAATTTGTATATATATATATATATATATATATATATATATATATATATATATATATATATATATATATATATATATATATATATATATATATATATATATATATATAATATATGTCGTGCCGAATATGCAAAACTGGTCAATTAGCAAGAACTCATTTAAAATTAAGTCCTTTCTAAAATTTTCTCTTATACGTTTAAAGATATATTTTTTTCATTAATGTTGATGTAAAAATTTATAATTTTGCACCAAAAGGATCTTAGAAAACTTACCTAACCTTATTATAACAAGCGCAATTTATTTTAGCCTAACCCAACTAAATATATTTTAAATACGTTCACAATAATTTAGTACTAAACAAACACAATCATATATATTTTTTTCGTTAGGTTCAGAATGATTTTGGCGAAATTATTGCATACACAAATTTTCACTTGTCCTATATGGCAAGATGAGCGTTGCTATTTAAGCCAAGATCGCAAGTTCTGCCTATTCGGCACGACATATTATATATATATATATATATATAATATATATATATATATATAATATATATATATATATATATATATATATATATATATATATGTCAACTCTATTGAAGCTCTTCGTTTGGTTTCGTGCCTATCTACTCCCAGGCAAACAGGCACACAAGGTTTAAAAATTTCACCCAAATGTTTGAGGAAGATCTAAGCTTCACTCAGTGTTAGAAGTACTAAGCTTCGCCTAATCTTTGAGGAAGAGTCGAAGAATCACATGGGAGTAGAATCCTCACACTGCCCCTGACAGTCTATGCACGAGAAGTGTATATCTCCAGTGTATATAGGTCGAGAAGTTCATGTCTCGTAGTGTATTATACGCTGAGAGTTCCCTCTGATCCACATATCAGGGATTAAAGCATCCTTCAGTGATCCAGTTTACGCAAAGACTGGACGTTAAGGATCTCCAGTAGTCGAACACCTAAGTCAGGAAGAAGGAGGAGGAGCAGGAGCAGTTGTGGAACATTCAGCAACCGCTGCTGTTTGAAAAATACAAAGGTTACATTGAGCATCTGCTATTGCTTGAGAGATACAAAGATTACATTCAGCATCTGCTATTGCTTGAGAGATACAAAGGTTACATTCAGCATCTGCTATTGCTTGAAAAATACAAAGGTTGCGTTTCCAACGTCGTGTCGTCCCACGATGCGATCCAAGTATTGGTCCACCAAAGGTTCCAGGGAGTCTGTTCGCTTCACCAGCACCACCTGCCGAAGGAATGGCGTAAGCTTGAGGTATTCCAGGGTAAGGAGAGTATACGTGAATACAGACGGAGGATCAAGCCTCCACCACGTCTTGCGCTGAATGACCCATATGGGTTTAGCGTTTAACATGAATTAAAAACAAAAGCAAATCCAAAGTACATGGAGGCAGAACTGTGAAGTGAGAAGCTGGAGAAGTTAAGGGAAGAAATTGGAAAACAATAGCAGAAACAAAAGAAAAAAAGTGAAATACACAATATATATATATATTGAACAATGTAATCCTCCCAAAATGGCATTAAAGTCAGAAACAGGAATGTTCAAGAAAGTCTCAGCTGCGCATTTCACACTTCTTTGATGACGGTGAACTGTCTCAGGTTACCAGTTCATCCTTTTGCAAGTTACCGAAGTAGAACAATGGAACTGGAAGGGAGGTCGTGTTTACACTAGAGGGACTGAACTGTAGGTCGTGCTTGCGCTAGAGGGACTGAAGGAACTGAAGGTCGTGCTCGCACAAGAGGGACTGAACCGTAGGTCATGGTTGTACTAGAGGGACTGAACTGTAGGTCGTGCTTGCACTAGAGGGACTGAACTGGAGGTCATGCTTACACTAAAGGGACTGAAGGAACTGGAGGTCGTGCTCGCACTAGAGGGACTGAACCGTAGGTCATGGTTGTACTAGAGGGACTGAACTGTAGGTCGTGCTTGCACTAGAGGGACTGAACTGTAGTTTATGCTTACACTAGAGGGACTGAACTGGAGGTCATGCTTACACTAAAGGGACTGAAGGAACTGGAGGTCGTGCTCGCACTAGAGGGACTGAAGAAACTGGAGGTCGTGCTTACAACAGAGGCACTGAAGGAACTGAAGATCGTGCCTACACTGGAGGGACTGAAAGAACTGCAGGGACTGAAGGAACTGCAGGGGGGAAGGGGAATCTTACTCAGACTGAGAGAAGAAGAGGAGCTGGGGAGTTCGTACTCACCCGAGGAGGACGGTTGTATCATTTCAGAGTCCCTTGCATCACCGGGCGCATCAAGGGTGGGGCTGAGCACCAGATCAACAGACGGGCGACCAACTGCGTGCAACAGAGAGGCCAGACTCACACACTGTTGTTGCTGTTTGTTCTGCAGGAAAAAGTCAATATATCAACCCTCTGGGGACCATTTGGCACAAGGAACGATGAAGACTCGATCCTCCTTCTGCTAATAGATGCTCCGGTCTCTGCATAGAGAAAATTAAATAAAAATGAGCTTCTGGTGTTATTTATAAAATATTTAATTATATGTTATGAAAAAATAAGTTTAATATTTGACGTGAAATGTAGCAGATGTTTCTAAAAAATTAATTTCATAATAATATTAACAATGATAATTAATAATAATAAAGTTAATAATAATAATAAATTCTTATATAAAAATCAACAATAACATTAAATAAAGAAAAATTTCAGATAATCAGCAGAATTAACCTGGTCTTCAAGACTCACCAGGTAAGGGACGGTGGAGGAGAGGCAGGTGTGGGAGTACCACAGGTGAGGGAGGGGGGATCCACCTGGTTGGTACTCTGGTTGAGGGTCCACCCAGAGTCCCGAATTCCCCCCAACTGCCCTCACCAAAGCTGAAGAAACACCAGTCACCCCCACCACAAAGTTCACCTTACCTAGCTGCCAACACATGAAGTATTAGTATCTCTCTCTCTCTCTCTCTCTCATATATATATATATAATATATAAAATAAAATATATATTATATATATATATATATATAAATTATAATATATATATTATATTTTTATAATATATATATATATATATAAGCGTGTATGCACCTGGAGAAGAGAGGAATGCAGAGGAGAGAGAGAGATTTTGGGAGATTTTAAGTGAATGTATAGGAGCCTTTGACCAAGTAGAGAGTAATTGTGGTAGGGGACTTGAATTGCTAAAGTAGGAGAAACTTTTAGAGGGGGGTGTGGTAGGTAAGGTTTGGGTGCCAGGTGTAAATGATAATGGGACCCCTTTGATTGAACTTTGTATAAAAAGGGGTTTAGTT